TTATTATTATTATTATTATTATTATTATTATTATTATTATTATTATTATTATTATTATTATTATTATTATTATTATTATTATTATTATTATTATTATTATTATTATTATTATTATTATTATTATTATTATTATTATTATTATTATCATTATAATTGCTATTGTTATTATTATTACTGTTATTGTTATTATTGTTATTATATTAATTATTATTGTTATTATTATTATTATTACTATTATTATTATTACTGTTATTATTACTATTATTATTACTATTATTATTATTATTACTATTGCGATTATGATTATGATTGTGATTATTACTGTTATTAATTAGCGATAGAATAATATATTTTGTTAAATCATAAATGTCAAAAGAGGCTTCGTTCATTTTGCTTTGACATTTATTAATTAGCAAGTATGATTTGGCGCATCACATCTTAATGTAATTTATAATTACAGGTTGGAAAAGTTCGTTTATAGTTTCGTTTTTTTTTTTGCTTCAAATTGATAGTTTGGTCAGTTGGCTATTTGGGAAACCATTGGTGGTGAGAAAATTAGGACAAAGGGATGATTCGTAGTGGAGCACCGGCGCCAGCGCAACGTGGTGGTACTTCATCTCTGCCATCGAATGTTCGGGATAGTATTATGCATCGTTTAATGCTTTCTACTCAAGGTAATTAATTAATGATGTGTTGCTGATGTATATTTTTAACTGGGAAATTTCTAATGAATCTGGGAATACTGATCTGAGGTTATCGGTGGTTGTAATAAATTGTAAAATAACAATGTACAAAATCATTGATAATTGTTATCAAGGTTATTAAAAAGTTGATCATTCATACTTCCCTGTATAGTATGGTTTGATGATAGCGTTGATAAGATTAATGATTATAGGATGATTATTTCAATTCTACCTGTACTTCCTTTGAAATGATTGAAATGATCGTTGTAGTTCTGAATAATAAAATGTTGCTTGATCTTTTAGTTATTGTTTCGCTCCTGGCGATATGGTTTATACTTGTTACGTATTTGTAGCCTCAGCCCTCAGCTGTTATCATATATTAGTCAAATGGTTGAAGGAAAGCTTTTCCTGTAGATTTCTACACTTTTTTTTCAAAAATTTATTTCAGCTGGAAGTGTACCAAACGGATCAGGACGAGCGGAGCAACGGTCACGAGAAGAAATGCAACAGTATATAGGACGGAATTTTCCATCTCATTCTTTTCAAGCACCAGTAAGTTGTTTATTAGGATTTTATGGTGTTAGATATGTTAGTTAACATTTTCGAACCTATAAATCTAAAGAAAAAAAGTTTGTGCGACAAAACATCAGATTTTCTACCCATCTGGTGAAGTAATTCAAACCGACGAAAAATCAACGGAGATCACAGATCAGCAAGACATCTTGTTCTTGCTAGAAATGTTTTTTTAATTTTGTTAAAATTAAATTTTGCTAAAAATTTCAGCAAGTTAACAGTGATGTAATGGATTTATGGTCGAGTGCTTCGGGAGCCGACAACTTTCCTCCTCCTATAAGTAATACTCTCCTTTAAATCAATTATTTTTGAAGACTCAAAAGAGCCTTTTAGTAAATACGTAAGTTTTATTTGCAAAGAACCGTCAAAGATTGTGTTTAAACATGAGAGATTTAAAGGCAACAACAAATAGGTCTCGATAGAGGTTTAGTTCCTTTAAATATGAGAGACCTTATTAGAAATGAACACTTGAAAGATATTTAAATTGTCGTACAGTCGTAAAGCGAAGAAACTTGATCTAAAAAAACTGTCACTAGGCACTTTGCCTTTATGTTTGTTATTTTCTCATTTAGTGTGTTATAATATTCGAATAATTTTAGGTGGAAATACATATGGTTATGGACCAGGACCGGGAACACCAACAATGTATTTGCCAAATTTGCTCAGTTTACCTCCGCTACCACCAGTATATTTGCGTTGTCCCGAATGTGGGATCTGCAAAATGAGCAGTGAAGAAATGGAGGTAGTTTGCTAGATCAGTAAACTATTGTAGTAGTGTCAGGAAATTCTAGAAAGAGTGCAGCAAACTAAGCGTTAAATGGGGATGAAAGTATCAGAAGTTATATTTGAATGGATAGAAAAACAGCAAAAACTTCTAACATTCAAACAAAAGAAAAAATGGTGTCATCGGATGTTTTGAAAATTTCCAGGTCCATATAAAAGTCGAGCATTTGCACTGGAGTCCTTTTCAATGCACTGAATGTTATGCGGAAAGATCGACCGATTTTCAGTTGCGCGAACATGTTCATTCAACACATCGAAAAAATTATGATCATAAAGTGGGGGTTGTTTTATTGTTACAGTTGAAATAATCATTACTGTTTATCCTAAATAACTAATGGATCCAAAGAAATTATAAGATTAGCATTGCTGAGTCATCCAGTAATCGTTAGTCGTCGTTAGTATCAAATAACCGGTTGATCATGGAAAGTGTAAGATTATTCATAGGCGATAGGTGGAAATCCTAGAAACTTTATCAGTAGCTCAACATTCAGCTGTCAATCGAATATGAACAATAGTTAGTTGTTCGACGAATGAATTGTTCTTCATCAGTTCATTCAAATAAGCCTGTTTCATTTCTTAAAATTATTACGACTATGAAAACGCTTTTGTTGTCTTCGAATATTCAGCTCTAGGAGTTCTTGAAATGGCAGAGAACGTTGGATAAGCATGACTATAATATGTCACTTCAGCAAGTAACAAAATTTCCATAGGAACTCTTGCTACTTCAGGTCTCCAAAATCCTCTTATGAAAATAGTAGGTGATATCTGAGAGTTGAAGGTACTGATAAGGACTCTAATCCTTTGAATCAAAATAGATAAATAATGAGGAAATCAGTATTCGTAGACATTTCTTTCTTTTTAATCAGTACTTTTAATCGTTTTTTCAGTTGATTTATCAATAATCATATTTCATACAGTTTATTTACGCGTATCACGACAATCCCACTGCGAAGCGGTTGCTGCAATTAATGATGGATCGTTGTTTGATGAATGCACGCCGTGCGCAGCCACCTTCATTGGTTAGCAATTCTCAACCATCACCGACTGCAACGACAGGGACGACATTACCATCAGCACATTTCCATGCTGCCACATTCCCGGTGAATAATATGAGAGAAAGGCTTATAACTCAAACAAATGATATGGTTTCTTTTTATAACTATAAAAGTATCGGAAAAATAGTGTAAAATTAGTGTATCGTAAAAGTACACTATAAATTATGGTGTTTAAGGTACTCTTTGAAAGTACCCTAAGCTGAGTTGAAACATTTAGTTATAGTTTCATAAAATGCAGCGCTTTTCTGGCTTAGGAATGATAATTTCAACAGTTTTAGCATCATTAAGATAAGGAAATCTTCAGGAAAATTGTGAGATTCTTTCCATGACATTCACTACCATATTTTGAGAATTTTAGGATAGACGTTCTACGGCAAGTTTATCTCCTTCACGTGAAGCAGGTGTTGAAAGTCCTATGCGTAATGTCAATACATTGACAAATGGCCGAGATCACATATCAATGAATCAGCAGCTACAAAGGTCTGGGCTTACGCCAACGGGAGCTGTAGGAGCGACAGCTACTGCCATTTCAAGAAAACGACCTGCAAGGTAATTATTTCGTAATTATTAATCCCTTCAACCATTTACATATTATGTATCAAGTTGAACTATTCACTATAAACTAAGTGATTTTCGGATATGACATCTGGTATTAGCTAAATGACGCAAACAGTAATATTTACATCATTCTTTGTTATTTAATAACCATATTAATTTACTTGCTTGTTTTTCAAACTTTCATATGCTATCAACGACTTATTTCCATTAGTGATAATACGATGTCTTGGAACACAAATACCGATGCAGTATTATCGGCGATACGTGTTGCTACCCATGAAAATGCCGATGAACAAGAAGGATGTATAGAGGGAGTTAGTGCTGAAGACGGTGGAATTGGAGTTGGAGGAGAATTGGACGATGAGTTCGCAAGCGGTATACGTGATGTCAAAAATGCATTCGACGTTACTATGGAAGAATCAAGTAATTTTTTTTTTATTCGCCACTTCGTCCTATCATATCTATTGTTTGTAATTTTTATTCAGTTGCTATTCGTTCGACCATTCAATAAAATGTTCGTTTGTCATGTGATATTATGACATATGCGTTAGACATTCTTGTGCGTCATTTATGGATCTCTTGGTAATGCCGTACGTCGGAAAGTTATTATTAAATAATTTGTTTTATTCTCAGTCAGTTTTTTGTTAACTTAAACGATAGGAACTGTTTATCTTAACGATTTATTGGCATTATTTAAAACCTTCCGTTCTTTAGAAATCAAATTTCCCTTTTAGCAGCTGAGCAATCCGATGAGGCATTGCTAACAGCGGCAGCAGCTGATGGCGGCCAGGATGCGACGGATATTTTGGGGAATGTCGCCGAAATATTTAGTGCCGGTGATATAGCCATTCCATGGAAACGACGGAATCGTGGTGGTAGTAGTAGTGTTCATGATAATAATAATATCACAGATTGTAGCACGAGAAATGAGCGCCCTAAAGCTACCAAGAGCAGGTTTATTTACATTAATCACTCCTCATATTTGCTCAAATTCGAATGTTTTCTCCACAAATCACTGAACTGCTTGGTTTATTAATTTTTGAAAATGCAAATCCGAAAATATTTTACATTCCTAGTTTCAATGCTCAGTTAAATTTTACATTTTTAAGCTTGGCAAAAAGACGTATGATGGGAATATGCAAGTGTAAACAGCTTATTACCGCTGGTGCACGACAAATGCATATTTTTTATCACATGGCAAAGGATCGTCAGGTTGAAATTTAAATTGTGATTAAGAATGTTGGCATTTGATAGAGCAAAATGATCGAAATATTTTACCGGGTGTTTCGCCGTGACACACATAATCTTCACTAGATTATTATGGAAATCTCTTCATTTCAGTTTTGAATTAATCAGTGCGAAATTATAGCTTTTCCGTTTTCGTTGCAAATACCCCGCTTGTCAAGTCCAGCACTACAGGAAAGACCAGATGGAAAATCATCAGTCGAAGGTGCACGGTGCAATAAATCCAATGTTAATCGAAGACCGAACAGCTGAATTGTTCAAAATTTCCCAGGTAGATTTTTGTGAACATAATCATTTTGATAAGCGCAAGTAGAATTATAAGATCATCCCAGTTTACTACAGTGGTTTATACCAAATGTGTTTTTTTTATTTATAGGAAGTATCGCTAGATCTTTTGGGAACAACAGGTAATAAGCCTGGTCCTACAGCTGCACGCGCACAAATGATATACGATCAGATGATGGCAGCACAAGCTCGAAATCCGAGGAATTCAAGGAGAAAGAAAAGAGCTGCAGAACGAGTAAATCTGAGCTTATTTTTGTACGAATAATGAAATGATGGATGTGGATTAGTTCCATTATGTCTAAAAAATAAACATCAAAAAATGTTGGCGGTAAATTTGGAAATGTATTAAATTTTAGGCTTTAGCCGTTGCAGCAGCACGTGCTGTTGCTACAGCTCGAGTTGCAGTAGCAACTGCAGCGCTGAATGCCCAAAGAATGGCTGCAATACAGGAAGCAAATCGATGCAGTACTGCAGAACAATCGCAACAGCAACAACATTTCCAACCTGTTCCATCAACATCACAAGAGATATCGGCCATAGAGCAAGCCGATGATCAACAATTGCATTGTCAAAAATGTCATAAATTACTACATAATAAGGTAATTTTATTTCGTAGACTTTTCCTTAACACATTTGCATGCCAAATATTTAGGAATAGTTATAAATAGAATTGTTCGTAGTTGATTCACTATTCTTAGCTATCAGATTATACCTTATAATGGATAGTCAGGTTACAGTTGATAAATTAACCACTAAAACGTGATAGTTTGTCCCTCAATTTGCCTATCTTTGCGGCACCATATGTCTGTCCATTGTTTGACTTTGTTTATGGGAAATCAATCTTCAGGCGAAACGGAGCTTGCAACAATGACTTTGGTTCCGGATTATTGAATTTCTATTATTTTCCGTCCTGAAACTTTTATTTTTCAGATACGTGGTTTCCATGTTCTGTGGCATATGGCCAAAGATCTTGGTATCAATCGTTACATATGTAAATTTTGTGATTTTGGTCATGATCGAAAGCAAGCTGTGGTAAGCCATGGAAGGAGGGAGCACGGTACAGAAGATTGTTGTGAGGATCATGTTGAGGTTTCTCGTTATTGATATTTTCTGTGCATTTTTTTTCTTTTTTTTCTACTATGCGTCTATGCTTACGTTTTCCCTTCTTTAAATATTTCTGAAATTGCAGCAATAAAATAATTTCAGGAATATTCAGATGAGGTAAAAGCAATGACTGAACAGTGTTTCGGTTTACAACCAACATCGTCGCAAGATACCCGTGTACAGTGCAAGGTAAATTTTCTCAACGTTTTAATAAATGCGTCCAGCTGCATAAGTTACATACCAGAGCTGCATAAGTTACACACCAGATTAAGTAAGCTGGTTGCGGATTTTTGCATTTCTTGGTAGCTGCTGAATTAAATTACGCGTGTTTGTTGAACACAAGACATCACATCACTCAACGAAACGAATTTTAGCCATCGGGTAGTGTTATTGTAGAGATGTTTCAAAGGATGAATAATTTTAACGAGTTAATTGTCCCGGAAGAAGTCAAGAGACTTTACTATCCGTTGACAGAACAACTTGTGTGTGACAAGGTTTTTTTTATTCTCCAATCGGTTCATTGGCCGAGTTCATTGGTTTTTGTCGGTTCAGCGATGGGGGCAATGTTTTTTATTATTAAATCTGAAAATGTGTGCACAAAATTTGCGAATTTCTAATCCTTATTGTTGGTAATTTTTCACCTCTAGAGTATTCACTTTTTTTCCAATGTGATACGTTTTAGCAATCCGATCAAGCAGTTAACGATGAAGGAATGGTTGCGGAATCTATGGTAAATACTAATACTACTGCTGCAAATACGGTTTCAGAAGAGATTTCCAATTCAGCACCTTATGGCATAGTAAGCGAAATTTTTCGCCTGCAAGAGTTTAATTTCTAATTCCGAGTTTCAGAATTCGATTCCGGAATTGCAGAACTGTGAGTCCAGTCCCAGAAAGTTTGAAAATCGGTGAATTAGAAGAAAGTGACTACTTCATACTATTTTCTGATAACACAACATTTAGAATTTTCCAGGACGAATATGGCACAAAGCCTTCGTCAGTACCGCATTGTATTGAATCATCACAGCTGCTACTACATCAGTCCGAGTCATCACCGATTATGTCACGATCATTTGCATCGACGTCATCCTCGTCATCATATCGTGATCGTATGAGAAAAGCTAGAAATCGTCGTTTCGGAATGCGTAAACCACCATCCAAGTTGAAGCGCAAAGAAATGGCAAAGTTGCGTGAAATTAGTATGCGACTCGGTGGTGCGCAGTATTTCAAAAAACGCTTCAACGAAGCAGCACATTGCCAGGTTATATTTTACTGCGGAAGATTCAGATCTAAAATTTCTGAAAATCAAGATTAAAATTTCTCAAGAAAAATTTCAAAAACATTGCAGAAATGCGGTTTGCTAACAACATCAAGATTAAGTGATCATGCATACAAACATCTGGATGTGCAGCTGTTTCTCTGTCCGCAGTGTGATATCGTAGGTTTTTCTCTAGTTGTTTTTGAATTTTTAGCTCTGCTCTTCCTGTAACTTTTTCTTGCAACTCATAGAATTTATGAAAGAATCTAGTTGTACATAATCCAGTTATATAACAGAAAAAGCTAAGCTGTATCAAGATTCAATGCTTTTAAAAAGGTCACTTTTTCATTGGTTCTGCAATTATAATATTTATGGAAGTATCTAGTTATATGTAAATCCTGGGCACAGTTCATAATCAGTCCTTTATCAACTGGTTCAGGTCAGTAATTAAAAGTTCACAATTCATTATCAAGACAATATCAGCAGTTGAAATATTTTTAATCCTGAACTTTATATATTAAAGGGAAATCAGTCACGTGATTTGGTAGTCAAACATATTCGGGATATGCATAGTAGTCAGGAACATCCAATCGATGAACGTTGGAAATATCGCGTTGAAATTAAGGAAATCATCCGTGAATGCTATCCAGCGTACTTTATCGATGCACCAATACCTACTGCTGCTGATATCGAAAAATTGTATGAGTTGCTTTTGTTTCATGAAATTTTGATACTTCAAGAAAGTGTTAATGCACAAGAATTGTGCGCTGAAATGACAAAGAGGTGTTTTTGATTCAAGTCTTAATCTACGTTATTTAGTTAATCGGGTTTTTTAACTTTTCCAGAAAGCAGAGTTTGTCGTCGGGGCGGTTTTTTGATGTCCTTGGATCCACAGATGATGATCAGCCAGAAAGTGTTGATGCAACTCTTGAAAGAGATTTTGGTGGAGAAGCCGGTGATGGAGATTCGGATGATGATCGACAAAGAGAAGGTCGCTGATAATTAATCTCTTTTTATCGCTAGGTTTTTCTTTTTTTTCAAATATAGTTTTTTCAAATACAGGATTAGACAAGTTTGCAGTGAATACTGATGTATTGACGAAAGAAGTTATAGCTGATCATGATAGCTGAAAAGGTGTATTTGTGCTGGTCAATCGAATAATATTTTAGTATACCAATATTTTATGTCTTAAGATTTTATAACTAAAAAAGCTAGCTATGATTTTCAAATAACGGGAATTTCCGAATGTACTAATATCGAATTTTCCGATTTTATGAGAAGTTCCATTTATTAGGTTTTCGAAACAACATTGCTTCAAGTCACAGACATCTTTCAGGTTTGGAACCGGAACAGGACGCACAGTCCTATACAGAAGGAGGTGATTATGGTGTAGACGATGCCATATTATGTGAGGCAGATCATGCACAAGAACGTTTCATAATGGGAAATGACGGTGATCAGTCGGTGGATAGTGATACAAGTGGTGATGACGCTATGATTGAAGAAAATGGACATGATGAGGTGCCTTTTATCTCACTATATGATTTTATTGTTTTTTGTTATAATGAAAAACATGATGATTTGCAATGTAAAGTTAGTTCTAGCATATATTATTGATTTGACCGACATGACTTTTTTCAGTTATGTGAAATTTTCATAGAATTAATATGATGTTGCTCAGGTATTTTCCAGTTTTAATTCGTAATAATACGACATGTTATGTCAAATTTTGATCTCGTCTCTTATCTCAATTTTAATCTCGTTGGATCTCGTCTCTCGAAAACATTATTGTTACTCAGTTGTCGTTTCAAGGTTTACTCATTATTTAAATTTAAAAGTTAAAGATGCAGAAATATTTACCTATGTTTTGCAGGCAGAAAGATTTGCTGGTGCATCGTCGGGGCAGTCATCAATCACTGGGCTACCATTGCTGGAAAACGAAGATGTTTTAGGAAGTGGTGGTATTTTGGTGAAAAATGAGCCAGATAATCATTCTGATCTCACTGGAGAAGCTGAAATTACGCATATTGTGGAAGAAGATGACGAGGGAGAAGAGGAAATGTGAATAAAAAAAGAATGCTGTAATTCTGGTCCTTCAGTTATTTTTTAAGCATAGTTTTGTAAAATGAAAATTTTGCCAATTTTTCAAGTTACTCGAATTTACTCCGTTTTTCTTTTTCTTTTTTTTTTTTGTCTCAGAACGAGATGCTTGATGATCACCGGTCTTTTTTAATAATATTTACTGTGTTATCTAACGTGCACTTCACCATGGATCATAGGTGCAGACAAAAAAAAAAAAATACACATTCCGAAATATAAAATGAGACCAGCACCTTAAATCGGAATGGTTTGAAATTACTGATGAGTTAGACCAGTGCGAAAACTGTGATTTGTCAGTTTTTCCAGTGTCGCCAAAATCTTGTTGAAATTTCAAAGTTCCGTTTAAACAAAATAGCAATTAAGCTCATATTTTGTGCAAGTACCATTGTTATTGCAAAATCAATTTGAAATTTTGTTTTTTATTTACATTTTCTTGCACTTCTGCATTTATATCACGCTACTGTTCATCGTTCATTCAAATTTTGTCTCAATAGGTGATAATTGCGCTACATCAACGTCTATATTTTCGTGGACTTATTGTGTTTTGCAAGTCCATTTATATATACTTATGAATCAGTAGAAGTGAATTTCGATGAACAACCAGAAGAGAAGGATAGTATCAATATTACCTGGTAAATAATGATTCATTTTTAGTGGTCAAATGAAAAATTAGTTATCAGCAAAAAATGTGTCAAATTTGAAATTGATTTTTTTTTAAAACATTTAAAATTAAAACCAAATTAAAGTTGTATATGCATTCAAATTGCTTTTTGATCTTTTTCTTTTCCTATCTTTTGATATTATTACGCGCCTATGTCAAAGAAGCATAAGTTTTCGTTTTGTTATACTATTGAGTTTCAGTGTTGTTAAAATTGTCATCATATATAAGTGATGTATGAATGACATATGGTTGGTTTCTATGATTTAATTTTCTTTTTCATTTTGAAATTTTAATAATAAAAAAGGAAATTTAGAAAATTCACTTTAAACATTTCAATCAAATGAAAAACGACGAATAAATTGAATAAATAATAAATATATAATAGTACATAATTAGTTAAATAATAACAGTAGAAATATCAACTTTCTATAATCATTCGGCTATTTTCATGTTATATATGAATTGGTTGATTATAATTAGGCGTTCAGATTTACTAATTAATTGTCATGGTTGAATTATTATGCTAATACAACTCATTCCATTGCTTTATTTTTAAATTGTCTTAATAGGGGTGATTAGGAAAGAGGGGGAGAAAAAAAAAATGGAGTTGGTATTTAGCATTATTTGTTAATGATATATATATAGATATTTGAATTGAAAGATTTCTCGTTTTTCTTTCATTCTTTACGTTTCTCTTTTTTTCCTTCTTTTTTTTTCTTTTCTTGTTTCAGGAAAAGAAGTCATTCATATCCGTTCTATTCCGTTAGCTTTACATATACCTCCTGTCCCATTATTATTTTTTTAATTTTCTTTTTTTTTAAATTTTTAAAAATTTTTCATTATTGTGATGCTTCATTACAGTGTTTACTTTGTTAATGTGAGTTATATAAATATATTTGTTAATTATTGATATTTTCTTCCCTTTTTTTCTCTTACTTTTTTCTTCTAATTTTTTTAATATTACCTTTAAATAAGTTTACTTTTACTTTTTATTAGTATCAAGTAATAGTATGTGTTGCAAACTTTATTCCAAAAAAAAAAAAATAACTAATATTGATGCAATAATTCCTTTCGAATTTATCATCCGGGAACAGAACATTTAAATTTTGGAAATTTCAATTTAAAACATTAAAACTGGTGAAAGATTTTGCAAAGAAAGTGATTTTTACAAAAAGAAATGGTCATGGAAGATTAACAAAAAAAAAAAAAAAAAAAGAAAATCTTTGAAATAATTTTACTTGAAATTTAAATCACTAGGAAGAATTTGAGGAAGAAAGTGAAAGTTGGGAGAAGATCAGGACAGGATGGAAGATATATGATTGTGTATTTTGTTTGAAAGTAGGCAAGTAAACAAATAAATGAGCAAACACAAAAGTTTTGCCGCTATGTAGCGTTGCAAGGTAAACAAGCAAGAAATTACCGGATCATATTCTTTGCAAGGTAAATAAGTATGAAATATATATATACGTGTATTTTACTACGTTTCAATGTAAAATGAAATCGTTCGTAAACAAAATTTGAAATTGCCCATATCTCACGTATCATTGCAAGGTAAATAAGCGTGAATTTGTCGATATATGTCGTTACAAACAAAGTTAATTTGTTAAAATTACTTGAAATTTTATGTTGTAGGATAAGCAAACAAACACGAATACAAAACACAAAGTAAACAAAGGTAAACAAAGGTAAACAATTCGAAATAACAAATATAAATGAAATGCTTATTGTGTTAGTATGACATTTTTCATCTCAAATATTGATAAAATATTATAATTTTGAAAGGTAAAAGAAAACAAATTAATTGGAACATTAATTAATAATGCATTAATTAATAATTTGAATATATTCAATCCCAATATATAAATAATATCAAAAAAAGGAATTTTTTTTGAATTATATTTCATTAAAGTTTAATATTTTCTGCTTTTTATCGTTCTTTTCTCCTTTCCTCTCTCTTCCTCTCTTGTCCTTTCACAAAATTGAAGCTAAAAAGAAGAGAGAGAGAGAGAGAGAGGGAGAGAGAGAAAGAGAAAGAGAAAGGGAGAAAGAAGAATTTCCGCTAATGATTTTTATTAAATTCAAAATTGAACTGCAATGAAGATATTTTGGAAAAAGAAGAGGCATAAAAATATTAATACACAAAATTAAAATTAAAATTATGAGAAATTTTAGAAATAAGTATTTAAAAATTGAAATTTATGCAAATTTTTGAATGTTTATTAATGTAACCAAAATAAATTTTAATTTAAAACATTTGCAATATTTAAAAATTTTTATATTTCTTTTCGTTTTCTTTTTTTTTTTTTATTGTAAAAAGATAATCAACAAGTGAACAGTCGGTTTGATAGAAGAATGACCTTTGAATATAGTGAAAATAATCGTATCAGTGGTTTCACCTTATCAGTTTCTGTGCCACCTTCTGCGAGGTTAATAAAATCCGGTATTTTATCGATTTTTCTTTAAAGAATCAAAATTTAACTCAAAATTTAAAATTAAAATCAATTCAAATGAATTATATCAATAATGTTTATTTGATGGTTAAAATGAAAATTTTATACTTGAATTGATGAAATAACATGAAAAAAGAAAAAAAGAAAAAAAGAAATGGAATATTTTGAATAGAAAATACGACGTTTATTAAAAGGTTAAAGTTCATGCTTTTATTAATTGACAATTTTAATTTACAAAAATGAATGATTTCTTTTTTCGCAATTTTTTAATATCATATATGTTTTTATTAAGTCTATATAATATTTGAATTTGTTACTTTTTTATTCTCTTCAAAATTTCACATGACTGAAAGGATTATATAAAATTGCGGGCATAAGATGTTAAAATTCATATGCAAAAATACTAATTAATGTATAAATTATGCTTAAATACTAGTATTTAATGACTAATATTCCAAAATTATTTCATCATATTTGAAACTGCAAACTAAAATGATTAATTCGTTTCTTGGAATTAGATTCTAAGCCATCTTATTTATTTGAATAAATTTTCGAATGGAAGAAAAAAGAATTATTTTTAAGTAATAAAAAAGTAAAAAAGATTTATTTATTCGAATAAATTTCCAAAAAAAAAGAATTAAAGAATTAAAAAAAAAGAAAAATGAATTTAAAAGAGAATGAGAAAGAATCAATTTATATATTATATGTTTGCTTATCATCCATATAATATTCTGTTTATTAATTTTAGCTAATTATATTTATTGTACTTAAAATTATTTTAATCCCGTTCAAAGATTAACATATATTGGCTAACATTGGGTTCAAAGATTAACATATATTGGCTAACTTTATCATTGGGTTCAAAGATTAACATATATTGGCTAACTTTATCATTAAACAGAGAAATTTCCACAATGTAATAAACAAATAATAATGAACACCGCTAATTTAAAATATTTGTATTTAAATGTAGCTATTTTGTATTTTAATTACAGATACACAAAACATAAATACATAAAAAGTATTTAAAATTGTAAGCCAATAAGTAAGCTAATTTTGTCATGGGTAGATCAAAATATCCTGCAACTAAAACTGATGAAAATTGAATTGGAATTATAGTCAAATTCTTAATCTGTTTAATTAATTTTCATTAATTTTACCATCCAAATTATTATCAAATTTTAAAATTATTATCAAATAATTGTTAAACAAGTTTTTTTAAACAGGT